TGTTGATTAGTATACTGTGTGAAAAGTGAACAGCTTTTAATTACATTTTTTTCCATGAAGTTTTCAAGTACCCATATGTGGGTTAACTTTTTTCTTTAATATTTTATTTAATATTTACATCAATGTTCAATACATTCTTGATAATAACATTTTCATTATAAGAGACTCAGCCCTTTGTTAATAACCAAAATTAACACTACAAGTCAGAAGCAAGCAGTGAGCAGCGTCATGGTCTTTAGTGTGCTGTGCTGTGCAAGGCCGTCGGATCTTGGAAGGTGTGGGTGACCTTAGTGGTTGTCAGGACTTGGCACTGCTGTAATCACAGGAGTCCTGAGAACCAAACACCAAGGCTGGGCAAGCCAACCTTGCCACTAAGTACGCCCTACACTGATTATGTGATTCTAGGCATTAACTTCATCTTCTAAACTTCAGGTGCTCCACCATAAAATGGGGAAACTTACAGGATTGTTGAAGAAAATCTTGTTACTGGAAGACTGTGAAATCATGGGATGTGTAATTAATTAGAGGACTGAAGAAGTAATGCCAGAGACCCCACAAGAGCTAATGCTGAAATTTGTCTTCCTTAATTGCTCTTATTTATGTTGATTGTTGCCTCTTACCTATCTGACTATTCTTTCATAATGGATGCTTTGCTTTCCTCCTATTTCTCCTTGTCAAAATACACTCTCAGGCTTGTTTAAGAGGGGAAACTTGGGGTCCAGTGCAGTGACTCAATAGGCTAATCCTCCACCTTCAAGTGATAGCAACCCATATGGGTGCTGGTTCATGTCTCGGCTGTTCCACTTCCCATCCAGCTTCCTGCTTGTGGCCTGGGAGAGAAGCGGAGACTGGCCCAAATCTTTGGTATCCTACACCTATGTGGGAGACCAGGAAGAAATTCCTAGCTCCAGCTGCTGCCACCATTTGGGGAGTGAACCAGTGGATAGACAATCTTTCTCTCTCCTCCTCTCTATAGGTCTGCCTTTCCAATAAAAATAAGCATATATATATATATTTTTTTAAAGATTTATTTTGTTTTATTGGAAAGGCAGATATACAGAGAGGAGAGACAGAGAGGAAGATCTTCCGTCCAATGATTCACTCCCCAAGTGAGCACAACGGCCGATGCTATGCCGATCCAAAGCCAGGAGCCTCTTCTGGGTCTCCCACGCGGGTGCAGGGTCCCAAAGCTTTGGGCCGACCTCTGCTGCTTTCCCGGGCCACAGGCAGGGAGCTGGAAGGGAAGCGGGGCTGCTGGGATAGAACCGGCGCCCATATGGGATCCCGGGCGTGCAAGGCGAGGACCTTAACCACTTGTGCCACCGCGCCAGGCCCAAAAATAAGCATATTTTTAAAAAACGGACCCTTGAACTATTGTTGCCCACAAACCATCTCTTAGCCTCAGCAACTATCTTAAATTTGCATATGATTTTTAATTGTGATGAAGTATGAGGAAACCTTCAAAAAGTTTGTGAAAAAAAAAATGTGTAGTAGGCATGGATCTTAATTTTCTGCATCAAGATATCTATTTTCCAAGAGCTTTTTGAAGCACTCTCAACTAAGTATGTTAGCATTTGAATCATTTTGGAAGTGCACAATTCAGAAGCGTCAAAGGTTTACAGTGTTGTGCAACCACCAGCACTAGCTCCATCATTTATCCTCACTCTGGACAGAATGCTGTTCCCCAATAAGCACGCATTTGTTTTTCAAATTATTTGAGAGGCAGAGACAGAGGAGCAAGCTCCTGTTGGTGGTTTCACACTTCAAAAGCTCACAACTGACTGGTCTGGACAGAGATGCAAGCTACGAGCCAGAAATGGAATCTAGGTCTCCCATGTAGGTGTCAGAGTCCATTTACTTGAGACATTGTCTAGCCTCGCAGGGCCTGCAACAGCAGAAAGCTAGTCAGGTGCCAGAGCAAGGAATGGAACTCAGGCCTTCTGATGTGGAACGCTAGACCCAATGCCTGTTTCTGCACACTGACTTGGAAAGCCAGAGGGAAAAAAAATGCCCTAAAGTCTCCATCAAACATCAGGCTCCAAGCAGCAGAAAACCTAGGGAGCGTAGCAGAGGGCATCATGATTGACTGCCTCCTCTTGAGCGATTCCTTCTTCCTTGTTTAGGAAATCCCGCCTGCTTTAGTTGTCCATTGTTTAGAAATGGTGCCCTCAAATGCAATTTACTGTAAACTCTGAGTCTAAGTTACTCCAAGGAATCAGTTCTTCTATTCTGTGTTTGCTTTAGGTTCCAGTATGTTGCCCAGCGCCAGCCATTGAAACACAAAGGAAATCAAATGCAGAGCTTTCAAAGTCTTTTTCTTAAAACAGATACATAGAAAAAGACAGATCATCTCTGTGTGTCTCTGGATATTAGTAAGGCTGCAGTAGGAGGTCATCACTAGATTGAGTTTATTGCAGATTATGTGAAGAACCCAGCCAAGTGCATGCATGCCATCTTCCTGGATGCCCAACATCAGGCTTGGAAACACCTTTCCCCATGCCTGGTTAGCAGGGGTATTTGAATCACTTATGGGAGGTGTAACTTGTATAGAAAAGTGTTAACTCTTCAGGTTGGAGCCCTGTGGATTTGTATGCCTGGTAGACATCAAGACCATGATAGAAAACTGTACTTGGGGCTGGGGTTACTTTGCCCAGTCTATAACACCTGAAAAAGCACAACTATTCCGATTTCTATCATCACAAGTTAGTGCTGCCTCTTCTTGATTTTCAGGTTACAACCATATGCATTTTTTCAACAGGCTTTTCCTCTCAAAATTGCATTTGTGAAATTCTTCTACATGTTGCATGCATCAAATTAATCATTTCTCATTAATGTGTAGTTATCCATTGTATAAATACTTCACCAGGGGGTATACCAATGGGTAGGCCTTTATAATAACTCCCAGCTGGAAACAATAAAGAAAACAATAAAGGAAACCACACTGAATGTGTGTATATGACTTTTGGTGAACACAAGTTTTTATTTCTTAAGTACAAACCTTGGAGTGGGAGGCTGAATCATGAAGAGGAGGTATCTTTAATTTCGTTAGGTCTTGGTGAATAGATTTTCCAAACGAATTGTGTCCAGTTATGTCATCAGCTAAATACTGAGTTCTAGTTTTTCCTCATTACTGCCAACATTTTTATTATACATTCTTTTTAATTCATTTGATTGAGCTAAAATATAGTGGTAGCTCAATGGTTTTTATTTGATAGCTAGTTAAGTTGAATACCATTTCAATACAGAGATCAGCTGGTGCTCCTATCTTGTGAAATACAATTTGATTCTCATCCATCTTTAAATTTGGTTCCTTGTGGTTTATAGGATTTTACACATTCTGGATACACGTCTGTCATATACTTAGTATAGCTATCTTTTTCTGGTCCTTGTGTTATTGTCCTTGTACTTACCTGTCTTTTAATGAATAGCTCTTAGTGAAATTAATTTATCAGTCATAATGGATTGTTTTGCATATCTTCCTTTAAGAAATCTTGATTATTACAACTGACAAAAATATTACCTAGGTTTATATTTACTTCTGAAGTTTACAAAGGGTTTGTTATTGATTTCAAAGTAATATTGTGCATAAGTGAGGTAGAATTTAAGGCTCATTGTTTTCCATTGTTAAGATTTATTTTTTATTATTTTTTTATTGGAAAGGCGGATAAACAGAGAGGAGAGACAGAGAGGAAGATCTTCCGTCCGATGATTCACTCCCCAAGTGAGCGCAACGGTTGATGCTATGCTGGTCTGAAGCCAGGAGCCTCTTCCGGGTCTCCCATGCGGGTGCAGGGTCCCAAAGCTTTGGGCCGTCCTCAACTGCTTTCCCGGGCCACAGGCAGGGAGCTGGATGGGAAGCGGGGCTGCTGGGATTAGAACCGGCGCCCATATGGGATCCCGGGCCATGCAAAGTGAGGACCTTAACCACTTGCGCCACTGCGCCGGGCCCTGTTTTCTAGTTTTTTAAAAAAAGATTTCTTTGAAAGACAGTTTCAGAGCGATAGCAAGAGAAAAACGCTATTTTCCATCCTCTGGTTCACTTCCCCAGTGGCCACAGTGGCCAGGGTTGGGCCAGAAGCTGGTATTCCATTCAGGCCTACCACATGGGTGGTAGGAGCCCAGGTCATCGGGTCATCTCCCTCGGTTATACCAGGTGTTATCAGCAGGATCAAAAAAAAAAAAAAAAAACTCAGCTGTGACTGGAACTTGCACCCATGTGGGATGCCAGTATCTCAGGAAGGGGCTTAACTTCCATTATTTTCAAACACATGAGTAAAACTTCATTAGCAAAACCATTTTTTCTTAACTGTAGTAGAATATTTGTTGAAAATCAAGTGTGTTTCCAAACTGTTTTTTTCCAGTTTTCCATCCTTGTATGAATACATTTAATTATTATAATTGAATATTCAGTTTATCAAATTAACAAATTTAAAAACTAGATGACACTTTGAAAAGCATTTCATTGAGCCTAAATTTCAGTTTGGGAAGGAATGATTTTTTATAGTTGTCATAGTTGCCAGCCTTTAAGTCTCTGAGCATTAAGTATGTCTCAGCTGTATGGTTTAGTGTTCAGCATAGAAACTTGCTGGCCTTGCTCTGGCTATTGTGGCCACTTGGGAAGTGAATCACCAAATGGAAGACCTTTCTCCTCTAACTCTGCTGTCAAATAAGTATGTAATCTTAAGAAACAAAAGCCTCTTTCTAACTATATAGATTTGAAATTGCTGGGCAACATAACCTATCAGAACACAGCAGTTATCTCTCTCAAATAGGAAACAGAATGAGGTTTGTGTATCTTTGTCCAGCAGTCTTGACAGTGGCCACCGGGTTCTCGGGCTTCTGGCTGTGTGCTAGCAGAGCTCTTGGATAGGTGGCAGTTGGTCTATTTGTTGAAGGCCCCAAGTCCATGAGGTATTTGCTGTGTTCTGTGTTCTGAGTTGGTGGACAGAAGCATTCTAAAATATTTTAAGTCATTAATGTAAAAAAAAAAATCAAAAATATAAAGAAAAAAGTGTTTATTTAGGTCAACTAGGATAATAAATAATGCAATTTACTAATGTAATAACAGATGTCCTCATGCACTTATCACATTTTTAAATATACAAGAAGCTGGCTTACAGGGCTGTTTGGAGAAACTTGGAAAAGTATATTTGGCAATACAGTGAAAGTTTAACAGTGTTAAGACTAGTAAACAGATTCTTTATCATTCTTAAAAATATATCACTTGTACATTTGAGTAAGAACTAATACTTTATAGATTTTATTTTTTGTAAACATGCCAGACTTAAGCCAATTGTCAAAGGAGCTTGGTTAATAATTTATCAATATTTCTAATAGACAAAGTTCAGAAGAGAATTAATTAACTCTTCTGCATTTCCATGTGGCAACTGATATATTGCAAGCTAAATCATTCAAACAATAAAATATGCTTGAATGAATTAAACCCAAAGTTTATAAACAGCAACTTTTATATTTAATATAGATTCAACAGAATTGATGTTTGCAATTTAATAAGTAAATGATCAATCATCTGTAAAGTGATAAACTTTGATAAAGGCTTAATTTTGTTAGTAAATTTCACACAAAGGGCTAAAATAGAATAATTTTAACATAAAGCTTTAAAAGAAATAATTTAAACATATCTCCATCACTGAAAATATGTCTTTGTTATTTACAGTTAATCAATGATACCAGTGTTTAGTTTAATGTAGCCAACTGCCAGTCTTGAATCTTCCTTTCAGCACCTGTCATTATGATTTTCCTTTGAAACACTCAGATTCATCAGTTTAGTGAAGGAGAGCGGTCTGCGGTCCACAGCAATTCAATGTAGGGCCATTTGGTTTGGAGACAGCGTTTAATGGGCGTGTCATCTGTCTGCAGCATGGGATCTTCAAACCCCATAACAACTGCAGTCCCTTCTACATACATTACCTGGAGAGCAAAATAAAGCCACCATGGTTAATTGATATTCTCAGCAAATTCCAAGGTGAAATAAAACAGTTTTGACAGGCTAGTAAATTTGGGCACTTTTGATTTGTTGTGGAACTTCTGCTTTGAAAGAAACTGTGAGCAAGAATATTTGCTTATGATTAGTATGAAAATAAATTTGTAAATTAATGACCGTTTACTTCCAAGCTGACCAGATATCATGTTCTAAGGAAAAACACGTCAATCACAACACACTTTATGATAAAAGAAAATTATCCCCCAAGTGGTATACAAATTCAGAAGACATTTTCTTGTATCAGCATATTTGCACAGTTTCTACTGGTTTAATACTGAAGCACTGAGATGTTTATGCTGCCTCATGAAATGGAAAACTATATAGCTTCATATTCTGAAGCTATCATTCTTTCAATTTAATTACTGTATTCTCAGAGCAGAATACAATTTGCATTTTTTGCCAATTAAATTTGTGAATTATTTCTTTAAAATTCGCTTTTGTAATGCATGAAAAATCATGAAGGAAAAAAAGGATTTCAACCAGGCAACTGCAATCACCAGTATGTGTGAAGTCTGATGCAGGAAACGACTGACGAGGCACATGTACGAGTCGGGTCTGTAATCAGCCCAGGTGAGGTTTCTTGGGGTACTCCCTAACTGTACCACTAGACTCAAAACGCTAGCCATAGACAACATCAAGAAATGTGTGGTCTAACTTTGGAATGCATGTGTTGGGACCAGGTTTCCTCAATTGCTGATGCCTGTGCTGTGGACAGCATGCCCAGGTGCACACGGGGACAAGATGGCCAGAGCTCATTTAGCCCTGCAGAGGATGGCAAGTGCCATGTCAGAAGATGGAGAACAAAACGAGCTGGGTAACTCTCCCAGCTGAGTTCTGGCAGCAAGTGTCTGGGTGAGTGGATGCACTGGGGTGGACTCCATCAAGCAGTGGACCTTGGAAGGATTTTCTCAACATTTTAGCAACAAAACACACAGACTCTTGGCACTAAAGATCACTCAAGCAACACCTTTGGAACCTTATTCTCTATATCAGAGCTTCTAAGATGACATCAAGTGGGCATCCCCATGCACAGGTAATGATGTAGTTTGGCAGATGGGAGCAGTCCCCCACTTCCCTCCAGCCCCTCACCCCACCTGCCTACATAAAGGAAAAAAGCATATTCCCACCCATCTTCCCCGATTTCTCGACCCTTCCCACCCTAATCAGTGGGTCTCATGAGTGTGCATCCTTGTCAACTGTGTAAACAATCCCAAAGCAAAAACAAATTTAAAAAATCAGATGGTAGACAGAGGTTAACACACTTTATATGTGATAGCTATGATTATAAACGGGCAAGTAAATGCCAGAACAAATCAAAAGTATCTATGACATAACACAAGAACAAAAATTTTATCACATCAAGGGCTCACTACTGAAGCACTGAGCCATTTATCTCTTGTACTAAGAGAAATTATAACTCTTTATACTTCAAAAAGAACAGACTACTTTCAATGCAAGGCATGTATAATTATTTTCACATATCAGTAGCTCATACACATACCTGTAATTATGTACAACTAATATAAAGATAAAACTTGATTGCTTAGTCAAATAGCTTATATTAGCGCAAATGGAAGTTCTTTTAAAAATGCATTAAATAGAAAAATATACAACTAAGCTTATATTTTGGTTTCATAAACCTCATTTTTTAGGAGGCTCTACAGACATCATTTGAAATGTTTCGAGTCCACACTGGTTAATATTAGTTTCTAGAGTTGATGAAATAAATTTATTGCCAGCACAGCTGCTGCTTTTCACTTCCCCCAAATAAAACTACCTTATCTGAAAAGCTGTCTACAAAGCTTGGATTGCAATCTCTTATACTTAGTAAGACATGATCAAATACAAAAATTTCACTTATTCATAGCAACATGGCCGGATCTAGCTTTGACTGTCATGTGGTTTAAGCTTTCTCCTACTTCACCAGCTTTTTTCCTTTTATTTTCTCAAATATTTTAAAAAGTACCTTAATATGTGTTCTACCATTTTTTTCTGGCTCTTGTAACTTTAGGATATAATATGCTCTACTTTATAATTTTTATATATTATTGTCACTGTAACATTTCGTTTTCTTCAATTATTGGTCTTTAGGTTAATAGGTCACTTTTCTATAATTTGAAACTTACTATATACAGGTAATGTGGCCAACAGACCAAGGACAGGATGCAGACTAGAAATCAGGATCTCGGTGCCAACCTGTGCTCTGCCAATGACTTGCCGGGTGCCCTTGGGTAAGTCACTTTTATCTCCCTGTCTCAGATGTTTCATCTGTGAAATACGGATAACAGTTGCCCTACTGCACAGAGACTGTTTACGCAAATGATGACTTGGTTTTGATCAAGTGATGATTCATTCCAAATCAAGGCTAAACTTTAAATTCTAGGCGAAGCACTCATTAATGTACAATAGGATGTCCTACATATACTAAATTCTAATTTCATGAGAAGATCTCTGAACTTAAAAAAAAACTTTCTTATGTTTCATTATGAAAATAAAAGTAAGCACCTTTTAGATTTGGCATACCTAAAATTATGTATTTGATTTACATTATGATCTATTTTCAATAGCCATCTGCAAATTAGAAACTTCTAAAACCAGCATGGATCCAATTAAAAAGGAAGGTCAGGCATTATTCCTTCAACTATCGGCTATTTCTACTCCATTACTTGAATAGATGAACATAACAGCCACATCACATGTGCACACAAAAAGGGTGAACTGGTGTGATCCCTCTGGCTAAGCCAGGTGACTAATGTGGAGATGGATCACTCTGCGCCTGGCACTGATTTCCATAGGAAAGGAGCAGGCGTAATGGGGGAGCGCACGGGCTCCGACTGACAAGCAGACAGAACCCCTGCTCTGCCCCTGCCTGCTGCTTGACTGTGGGTGTCTACCTCTCTGTGCTTCACTTGCCCTCTCTGTAAAATGAGAATGTAAAGTACATAGCAGAGTTCCAGAGAAATGGCCTGTAAATGCTAGCCATTATGCTTATTTATTTTAATCCTTTAATTTATCTCAGTGAAAACTTCACACTGCCCCCTTTCTCCATTTACATGGGTAACAATATTCACTGGACTAACTATAAATGTTGATTCAGAAAAATGTACATAGGTGAGGGTAACAATGTGCATATAGATCAAGCAATTCTATTAAGTTGAAAATCCTGCTCCAACTCCAAAGTAGAGTATCAAAGTAGTATCAAAAAGGTCATAGGAAATATCTGATATGGATAAATGATGCCTGAATTCCAAACTTATTTGCATCAATGACTTGTTTTTTAATTCCACTTTCCCACAAACTTTTTGAAATATCTTCTTACTATACTAGTCAAATCAAAATATGACCAGTTCTAAATTATGTTGTAATAGAAACAATTCTGGAATAGTCTTTAGATAGCAACTCTATATATGGAGTGAAACACTGTTATGCACTCATTTCTTTCAATAACCCAGTTGAAGATAAATTACATGTGAATTACCATACCTTTTCATTATAATTTGATTGCTTCAATCCATTGTAGTGGTAGACAGTAAAAGATTCTGGACCACTTGAGCCCTATACAAAATAAAATACTATTAAAACTTTAAATTATATCTTAATATCAGGTTAACTGCTAATAAGCAATTAAAAGTACAGTGAAATCTTTTAAAATCCTCATCTTTTGACTAAAGAATCATTTTATGAAGAAAAAAATCCCTCAACTTAGAGTTAACTACTATAAACCTCTAATGCTGGAAGATTTGCTTCTGAAGATGACACTGCGAACCAGGAAAGTATAAATTTCCATTATAAACTGTCCTGCAGTGTGTTTTTTAACTATGAGCACACATTACTATATTTGTAAAAGCTTATCCATTTTATTAAAAAGTTTTCCTTTTATAATAATTTATTCTGTTTAATATAGAAAAGCAGGAGTATTTTTACTCAAGTTACTAACATGTACCAATATTTCCATTTTGGTAAATAATACTGAACAAGAAGTTTCTGCTCCCAAAAAATTATTTGACTATTGTAACTTTTAATTAATGAACATATGTGGGAAATGAGAATACAGACACTCTTAATCTAGTATCCAGACCATTACCAGTTAAATCCCACTAAAGATGCTGGGCTCCCAGTGACTTCCTCCCACGCCCTTGACAGAGCCTGCCTGCACCTACCTCCCCTCATCCTCGTCTCCCTGGCCATATCTGGTGGATAACAAAAGCCATCCAAGCAGGATCAAAGCCCCCCTTTATGAATTTTTTTTAATTGCAACTAAAAGAAGAGAACTACTGACTAGTATGGTTCGTAGAGAAAGATGGACTGCGAGAATGAAGGTAACTTTAGCCAAGGAGCAGAGCGAGACTGCAGACAGCATGCCAGCCTCTGCTCCTTGAGTCCCTTCAGGGGCTTGTCTCTTCAGCCCCTCTGACACTCCCTGCCCATTTGTTCATCTCCTTCACTCAAGTCACTGGCAACCCAGAATCCTAAAAGAAGGCAGGACTTCATCTAGCTGTGCAGTCTCATCACCAATGATTTACTTTTCTGAATTATTTTAGACTAGCATATGACTCATTTCCCCATGAAAAGAACTTTCATTGGCTTTTTTCATATTCATGATCTTTTTAAACTCCTCTCCACAATATCCTTTTTCTTGTTTCTCATTTTTCAAGGCCTGGTTCAAATCTCGCTTTTTCTATACAGTTTTTCTTGAACATTCTAAGTGGGTTCTTGACTGCTTTATAAATCTCTGTAACTCAGCTGTCTGAAAAGAAATCCTCTACTTTGCATCATCTCTTCTGGTGTTATTTTTGAAAAACTACTTTAAAATCTTAACTGCTTTGATTCCTGTCTTACATTCCCAACTAAAACTAAAGCTCTTGTATAATTTTTATATTCTGCTCTAAATACTTTACACATAAGGAACTAATTCATGATTACTCTTTAAGTTTCTTATGTATACAGGTCAATGCAATTAGGTAACTAATTTAATTCCTAAGTTTTTTTAAATTAAAATATTACTAGATAACTAAATTTATATTCTCTAGTTTTAGCTTAGTAATTAGCAGTTGGTATAAAATATAGGAACACCAAAAAAAAAATAAAAGTTACATAACACAGTATTCAAAATGTTAGATTCTGGCATTAGGGAGAACTATGTTGAATTCTTGAATCAGTCACTTACTAGTTGTGTGTGATCTTTAAACAATTCTACTTTCTCTAACCTCCAACTTTCTTATGCCGAAGTGGGGAAAGTTCAAGACACACGGTGCCCATAGCATATACTCAATAAAGGGCAGACAAGCTATTATTCTTAATATAAACAAAAGCTTATGAATCTTCCATTTCTTCAACCTGCACCAGCCTCAACATCATGGCAAAGAAATGCTGTTCCACAGTATACAATTTTGAAGCATCTGTTAAGATGACTGAAGATGAATATTTTCCTACCCTTTTTATTCCAGGTTTAAAATTTTACTAAAATTATTCTGATTAATCACCATATTAATCAAAAGCAATATATGAATAACAGCCAAACTCAATGTGTATGTTGCGACTTCAGAGAAAAAAACTGACACGGGCCATGATTTTGAATGTCTGACTCAGAAGGGGTCTGAGCTCCTAATAAGTGAATAGATGGCAATGTGACAAAATTTCCTTTAAAGCAACTGTTTGCAAACACAACCACCATTAGAATCCATGTGCACATCGTGTAAGACACATGGTTATGCCACCGATTCTGAGTCCCTGCAGAAAGGGAGGTGACACCAGATTCCAGTATTTCTAACAAATTCTTAGACAACACTTCCGAGTCCTTTGCTCCAAGCCAAGAGCAGGACCACATGCTTTCAGTAAGGACAGAGCTATAAAAGGGCAATGAATTATACTGCAGCAATGAGATAAACCAGGCTACAGTGAAGAATTCAGTTAGAATAACAGGAAATAAGCAAACAGTGTCATGAACTCGAAGTAGACACAGTATAGCCAAACGGAAATGTCAACTGTATGTAGAAAAGGGTTATAATTTTTTTCATCACATTAAGATACTGCAAGTAAAATGTTAATCCTTTATACAAAGAAGTTATGCTAATTATGAACATCATCATGTAATAACTATCACAGTAACACCTTGTGTTATAACTGTTCACTGTGTAAATCTAAAGATTATCCAAGTACTTTTCAGAATCTTCCCAGAGTTAATTAAAAACAAATATTAACCCTTTATTTTATAATACTCATGATGAATAAATGTATTATTTAAATGTTCTAATAGCAACCTTGAACATAAAATTTGGGGCTCGGCGTGGTGGCCTAGCTGCTAAAGTCCTTGCCTTGAATGCGCCAGGATCCCATATGGGCACCAATTCTAATCCCAGCAGCTCCACTTCCCATCCAGCTCCCTGCTTGTGGTCTGGGAAAGCAGTTAAGGATGGCCCAAGGCCTTGGGACCCTGAACCCGCGTGGGAGACCTGGAGGAGGTTCCTGGCTCCTGGCTTCAGATCAGCGCAGCACCGGCTGTTGCGGTCACTTGGGGAGTGAATCATCAGATGGAAGATCTTCCTCTCTGTCTCTCCTCCTCTCTGTATATCTGACTTTCCAATAAGAACAAATAAATCTTAAAAAAAAAAAAAAAGTAAAATTTGTATCACTGCTTTAAGTTTAAAATGCTATTTATAAAGCACTTCCATGATATCAAAACATATTAAATTTAAAAAAAGCTTTCTAAATGGTCCTAGTAGTTGGAATGTGATTAGTGTTATACAGCATTAATTTTTCTAATGTCAGAAAATAACTTTCCAAAGCTTAAAATTCCAGTAGCCCATAGTGACAGTTTTGAATTTTACTTCACTCATCTTCTCTACTCTTAACAACAAAAGCAACAGGTTCAAAAGACAGAGGGTCCTTCCCCCTTTTTTAAAAATGAATGCCAGAAGGTATTCATTTCTCAGAAGGTAATTTCAATCTGAGATATAAAATGAAAAATTTAATCATTTTCTCATTAATGCATCTTTTACAAAAAAAAGTATAGAAATTGTCAGGAATCTGGCTAAGAATCTCTCAGAGCAATTTAATTTAGACTGATTAAGTTTGTCTGATGAAATGATGATATGGCTGACTAAATATTTTAGTTGTAAAATCCTTCAGTTAGATATGAAACCAAAAAGAGACAAGTAGAGAGAGTAAGACTGGCTTACTGATAATGCAAACTGAACCAAGAATTTTGAGAATTATATTGATTCTTAATAACTAAGGTCATTGGAAGGCAAGACCCAAAATGAAACAGCACAGCTCCATTCACAAGATTTCTCCATTCACAAGCAATTCATCTGAAACTTAATTACTAGCATTTCTTACTACCTTCTCCCCAAGTATCTAAAAAGTCTCATATTTGATGTAAGTATATTTTAAAAGGAGTAGGGAAAAATGCAATCATACTAGAATGCAAAACAACAAATGTTAACTATATTACCTGATCAGGAAAAAATTCTTGAAGAAATGGACCCAACAGTATGATTCCTAATCCTTCTGGATCTAACTTATTCTTCATGAGATTTATACTATAAGAAGAAAAAGAGAAAAATAGTGGATAGCAAAGGGGAAAAAACAAGGTTTGCTTTTCTTTTCTGATTAAAACTGGTACTATAACACATCTGCCTGCCAAAAATCCCCAAAACAGTCCTTTTTAGAACCGTAATGACAAATACACAGGAATGACATTTAATTTGCCAAAACTCAGTTATTTTTAAACCAGAGAAGTCATGAGTATGACTTTGGAATATTGTTCCTTATTAGGCAAAGTAATTTAAAAACCAAGACATAAATTCAGGCTTGTAACCTCTTGAAGGCGAATTTTATTTGCTTCTTAGGTATGCCTAAATTTACAATCAAATAAAGTATTTAGTTTCTTCAATATTTATTTGATACATCATTTTTTAACTCTAGTTACCTTACAATGATCAAAAACATCTCTTTCAAGAACTAAATTAGTTTTAACATTCTTAGATAATGTAACTTGGAGGTTAGAGATAAGATGATTCCTCAAGAGCTACAGTACAGTGAATTAGACTAAGTGGCCTATACTGTATGGCCCAGTGGCAGCCTAATATTAGCAGAGATGCTTGCATAGCCTTTACCATTATGTGTTGCCAAGGCTGCTGAAAGCACTGTTGTGTGTAATTAGAAATAGGGCAGAGAAAAATGGACTGCAGCTAGAAGGGTTCTAAAACTGAAAATAGTCTCAAGTCTCCATATTATCTCCAGCCATATTTAACTTGGCACTTACAGTTTATTGTCACAAAACACAATGTGTTGTGTTTGGGGGGGCTTCAGTTGGTCCTGGCTAAACAACTTCCCCTGGGGCAATGTCTCCCCTTGGGTTCCACTGCTGTGAGTGAGTGCTGGAGAACAGAAAGAGGTCAGTGGCAAGGACCAGATGCAGTGTTGGTCAGTTACAAGGAATTTCTTCCATACAGGGAACTTAGGCTATTCTTACAGCTGCAATGCTTTATTTTGAAGTTAACCAAAGTTGCATCTATTCCAGGGAGCTTTCTCCCCTGTAACTCTCAGGCCCATTACTACCTGGCATAGTATGAGGCACCTGACCCTAAGAGATGGTGGGGCAGGCCTGTTACTATCAATAATCCTAACTTTATAACCATCAGGTGATGTGTCTCATATCTCACAAGGGAAATGACATTTTAATAGGTCTGAATAAGTCAAGGAGGTTATGACTTGAAATATGTTATGACCTGTCTTCATTTGCTTCGTGTACTTATTTAATCTTCAGAAGGGCTCAGTTTATGAACCATCACACATTATAAAATGTGACTAGAGTAACTAACAGTCCAATCTTTCAACTACTTCTAGAAAAATAGACTGAATCAGTTATACTAATTTTATAATACAAGGTGTTATCCAGTCTAATGATCAAGGAAAATTATGTAGATGATATAAAAGATTTTAAAAACAAAAATTAATCCTTCTTCCTCTTCTCCATCTTAAGAATCATTTGTAACCAAAATTACCTCCGCTCAATTTTTTCTGCAAATTACAACAGTGTAAACAACATAGTTTCTACATGGAAATCAGCTGAAGAGAAACATAATTAGTGTTACAACATTTGCTGAAATAATTCAGCTCTTTCTGAATTTCTTCTCTTTAGGCTGGAAACTATAATGTCTAAATATTGAGATTCAATAAAGTCATGGCTCTAGATAGTAAGACCTTAACCCAAATGTTAGCTTAAATAAAAGTATACACTTCATAATTTTAAGAACAGCACTTTTAGCTGTAAAGACAGAATAGCACTAAATTTTACAAATGTTTTATGTTACCTATATTATATTTTTCCAGTAAACTAGTCTGTTCTTTGTCAAAAAAAAAAAAAAAAAAAAAAAAAAACTTCCACAGGGAAAGCAAATTGTACAGAAACAGAAAACGTAGGTCTTAAGAGATCATTTCACATCTGATCACTACTTCCAATTTGGCAATTATTTCCTCATGGGTAAAAATTACAAATCCTACACCTATGAAGGAAATTGTATGTGCAACAATGTATAAACCATAACAGAATAATGGCAAGATTTTAAGGAAATATTGAAACATTTAATGTTCTGTAGTGTTGCAGCTCAGGGTTTCACATCAACTAATCCAATCACTTAGCAGAGGCCTGGTGGTCATTTAAACAGAACTATCATTATTTTCCCTTCAGCCATTAGCAATTTGTTTAACTTTTTTTTTTTTTAGAGAAGGTCCCGGAGCAATGGCTCAACTAGCTAATCCTCCCTTTGCAAGTGCCAGGATCCATATAGACGCCGGTTTGTGTTCTGGCTGCTCCCTTCCCATCCAGTACCCTGCTAATAGCCTGGGCAAGCAGAAGAGGATGACCCAAGGCCCTGGGACCCTGTACCCACGTGGGAGGCCTCATGAAAGCTCCTGACTTCGAAATGGCTCAGCTCTAGTTAGTACAGCCATTTGGGAAGTGAACCAATGGATGGAAGACCTTTCTCTCTGTCTCTCCTTTTTCTCCATAAATTTGCTTTTCCAAATGAAAATAAATCCTTATGATTGTATTTAAAAGCTTAGAGGAAAAGACACTAATCTTTTGTACTTCTGAAATAAAACAGAACAGTGAGTACTGTTCTGGAAAGGAAATTCACTTGGAATATACTATGCCTCAGCTGTTTACACAAAATTCATGTGACTTTGTCCTAATTCGCCTTTGTACTTTATATAAACTGTTCTGATTTGCAGATGCAAGATTAGGATTACTGTTAAAGGTTAGCATGTATATGTTTTAAACTTAATAGAATCTGTAATTTGAGTAAGTAATAATTCTTATTTAACTTACTATTCAGGATCTGAAACAAGATCCAATGCTTTCATAACGTCTTCTAAAAGTGAATCAGGGATGAATCCATTTTCTGGGGGAAGAAAACAAAAAACAACTGCAATTAGAATGTACTTAAAGAAACACTATTTTTACTATCAGATTCCAAAGAGTTAAGGTATGCAAAGAGTTAAGAAAGAGCATAATGTTTGTTTTCAGACTGAAGACTATTATTAGATATTTCCTTATACTAGTTTTTTTGGCACACAAACATTTTTCAAGGTTAGTTTGAAATTTTTAAAAAAAGATCGTAAAATTTCTACCTGAGCACTCCAATGAAACTTTAAATTATTTTTCTTTGCATAGCCTTACAGATTTCTACTCAAAATCATAACAGTTTAGTAATCTTATATATATTTCAATCAACCAAGTAAACCTTTTAATTTCCAGCAATAATCCAATTAAAAGAATTCTCGGGGTGAGTGTTTAATACAGTGACTCAGGACTTTACCATCCCATATTCGAATGCTTAGCTGAAGTAGCAGCTACTGCAACCCAACTCCCTTCTCATGCACACTTGGAGAGCCATCAGTGATAGCTGAGCCACATGTAGGTGACTCAGATGGAGTTCTGGGCTCCAGGTTCACCTCTGCCAGCCCTGGCTGCTGCTGCTTTAAAGAGTGAAGCAGAACATGGGAGATGAATGTACTTTCAAATACAAATATAAAAGTTTCAATTCCTGACAAATGCCCCCTTTTTTTTAAAGCAATGTTATTCAGTTTCTCACAATAGTATTAAGTGATCCACTCTTATTTAGCTAAGAGGCGATATAGGACCAGAAAAATCATATTCATTTAAATCAAAGGAATAGATTTGGAGGAAAGTAAAACTTGAAATACAAAGCAGAGTCAGTTGTTGATGACTTTTTCATGGAAAATAGTCCTCTGGGTTTTGTTTTTTTAGTTGGGGACCAGCTTGGTGAGGAAATACATAGCATTGGTAAATGGTGAATTTTGATGATGCAATAGAATGTCACACACACACACCCCTCTTACAGGGGCGTTTGAAGTGATAGCAGTTTTCAACAAGCATGTCATTTATTCCCTTACATGTACAGTGCCTCAGCTGCCCTACGCTTTTACTCATTCCTGAAGACTGTTTCCACTTGGAATGAGCTTTCAACAAAATCTCTTTTACAGGGACTAGACAATTAGGAAAATCAATCTTGCTTGGGAGAACATGATGTCCAGAAGTCCTGCTCCTGTAATCAAACAGCACAATAAAAAACGCAGTTGCTCTTCCATGATGTGCAACTACATACTCTGTTCCTACCAGAAATGAGGGTGTTGTGACTGCAAGATCTTTTCTATTCTGAAATCTCACAAACAGTAGTTTATTCCTTGATGTTAAAAAGCTAAAAACAATGTAAATGTAAATGTTTAATTACCCTAAAAAATGAATTTGTTAAGCTACCAAAATTTAAGGTTTAAAGAGCAAATATCTTGCTTGAAGGCATCTGTGAAAACATTCAAGTATTTTTACTTTGGGAACTCAGCTTTGGTTAGTATGAAAAGTAGAGAAACATTTACTTAGTCAAGTCACAGACTGCTCAAATGTAAAACAGGCTTTATCTGGCTACCAGCAGATAGGAACAATTACCTGGATAAGTCCCTGCATTAATGGACTATCATATACATCTATCTTGTATCGCAGAGTTTCTTAGGCACTGTGTAGCATGTATTTTAATGTTGGCAGCCTTACACTAGAAACTACAGCCTGCAATTCACCTGCCACCCTCAGAAACAGTAAATTGGCTATATAAATAAAGATAGATATGAAAAATAAGTGGTTGTAAAATAATGCTTACCATACACATGATTAATGTGAAACTTAAATATTCCAAATCATTTTAAGGTAACTTTCCAATCTCCAGCTCAAATAGGCATTATGAATTATAATAAGGACTATCAAGTCAGAGACTACCTTTTGTATATGCTAATATAATATTTTAACAATTAAAGGTACAAAATAATTTCCAACACTTCAAAAAGCTTAACCTGTAATTCAAGACTAGAAAAGATTTCAAAACTGCTTATATTTTTAGGACATGTATGTTGAAATGTCATTTTATTCATTTGTATCAGCAAAGATAAATTACACAGAAATGGATGAAACCTAGTTCATTTAGTATTTAGTCCAATAAATTTCTAGACATTATGGCAACAGAAACATAAGAAAACTTCACTATCGCTAACAAAGGAAATATGAGAGCACAACTTGTAAGTATGCAAGTAAATCTAAGAAAAATTCAAAGAAAAATTAAACCTTGAGTGCATTATTATAAACTAAGCACATGATACAAACCAATGAGATTACAATAGTTTGATTATATTTAAAATATTTTAGAAGAGAGGAAGCTGTTTCTGAATTTTAAAAAAATAACAAAAACAGCAAAAACTGGATGGCAAAAAGTGCAAAGTACCTAGAGGATGAAGGGAACAACTCAATATGAAAGAATGCTGATGGAGCAGAGGGCAAAGTTAGCAATCTCATGGATGACAGCTTTACTTCATAATTATGAAAAAAAAAATAGAAATGCATTGTAGGTGAAAAAGAAATACCCACTGTGATTTCTGATTGAAACTATAGGGAGTAAATGGAGAACTAGCAAGTATCTTTTAACGGATGAGATACCTAAGCTGAGAACTTCAGGAAGACAGGAAATAACACAAAAGCAGAATTAGCAGAAAGGACGGTGGTTTGTGTCATTTGAGTTAAAAAAATAGCTTCTAAGGAGACAGGAGAGGAAAAGTACTTGGAATTGCAATACCTACCCGTCCTGCACAGGAGGATAAGAGATGTTTCTTCGGAATACAAAAGAAAACTAAGATTTAATTAACCAGGTTGATACTTTTTTTAAAAAAATCTTAATTTTACTAAAGGGTGTATTATATTTAACAGTCTATTAAAACTTTGATAAGATAAACTACAACTTACTAAAATACTTTCGTTGATAAAATCATGTGACCTTGTCCCTAGGCAAATATCTTCACATTCCAGCTTTCACCTCTTTGCTTCAGTCATTACAATTGGTCAGCTCATCCAGCTTCCCCAGCAAACGCTGAGCTGCTGGAAGGCAGTCCAAATCCCTACTTCAGGGCATACAGTAAGTGTCCAATAATATTTGTTACGTTGAGTTATTCAAAGTAATCCTAACTTCAAGTTCAAACAGTGCTCTATCCAGGGACTGTGGCTAAGCTAAAGTCAACTTTTGTGAACTGTATGATTATCTTCAGAAGAGATGATTAATTCACGGCTTGTTTGATAAATTCACTAGCATGTGGCAAAAAAAAAGTTACAAAACAAGTAAAACACGACAGATTGGGTAACAAACAGAAAACCAAGGATGATGCCATAGTAAACTGAAAACAGGTAGCCACAAAAGAGTGGGAAGACAAGCAGCAAAGATACTAGGAGAAACATGATTTATTCAACAACCTACATTTACATATGGCAGATCTTTTTTCTTTTTTTTGGGAATCAAACTATTTTCTAGTGTCTGCACTAATTCACACTCCTACCAACAGGTCCCAAGGTCCCCTTTCTCTGCACCCTTCCCAGCATTTGCTGTTTACAGTTTCTCAGATAACCATCCTGATGGAGTGCAGCTGAAAGCTCAGTGTGGTTCTCTGCATTTCCCTGATGGCTAGTTTTATCATACATGGGCAATTTTTTCATACATTTGCTGGTCACCTGTATTTTTCATGTGAGAACTAGTAAGGTTCTTTGCCCATTTCTTTACTGAATTGGTTGTTGCTTTACTGAGTTCGAGTTGTTGGTGGATTCTGGATATTAATTCTGTCAAATTAGTAGTTTTCAAATACTTTCTCCCTTTCTGTTGGCAGTCTCTTCACTATTGATGGTTTCCTTTGCTGTGTACCAGCTTCTGAGTTTGATATAATCTCATTGGTATATCTCAGCTTTTCCAACAGCTTTTTCCAACTTCGTAACTGCAGATCTTAAATTTAGATCTTTGATCTTGAATTGATTTCTGTATATAGTGAGTTCCTACCATTGAGTATATACCTAAAAGACATGAACACACTGTAACAAAGAAATATCTGTCCAGCACATTTATAGCAGTGCTGTTCACAACAACTAAAAGATGGAATCAACCAATCATCCATCAGATGAATGAATAAAGATGTTATACATGCAGTGGAATACTACTCATCTATAAAAAATAAAATTTGGGTGTTCATGCCAAAGCATAGTGCATTCCATCTGGGCATTGGTTTGAGTCCTGACTTTTCCACATCCAATCCAGCTCTCTGCTGATGGCATGGGAAAGCAGCGGAGGTTGGCTCAAGTACTTGTGGACCCTGCACCCATGTGGGAGACTTGGAAGAAGCTCCTAGATTCAGTCTCATCCAGGCCCAACTAACCATTTTGGGAATGAACCAGCAGGTGGAAAATCTCTCACTCTCCTTTTCTCTCTGTAAATGTTTTAATAATAACAATAATAATAAAACTCAGAGGAAAAAAATTTCTGTCATTTGCATCAAAATGGTTCTGACCGGAGGATACTGAAATAAGTGGAGCACAGAAAGACAAAATACTGCATGTTCTACCACATGTTGTAACGAAAATAAAACAAATGCCTGTGTGTATCAGCACTGTTGCAAATAGTTTTGTCAAACTGTTAGCAACCATATACAAGTTTCAATGATATGTGACTTTGTGCAGTCCTTGCAAATACTGCTCTTGAACTGTGATTTTTCACTTGAAAAAAAAAAAGTCCTCCAAAACATAAAATCTGCATTTACAACAGGACAATGTTTACAGGTAACATTCAATGAAGCATTGAAATCACTCAGACAATATGTGAACTTCAAATTAAAGTGTTTTTTAAAGCAAAATATTTTTCCCTTGCCCAAATATGACTGCTTTGTAAACTGTAATTCTATGAATGAGGAAGTGGGACAAAAGCAGAATAAAAGCACAAGCTATTAAATGCATTCTGATAACTCTTTTAAATATTACGACGCTTTTAAATACAATGACCATTTTAAATGTTATGCAGGGTTCAGTGTCTTGAGATTACTTTAGTCCATGCCATATATTTTTGTCTTTAAAAATTTTTTTTGGCCAATAATGTGGTTCGGCAGGGTAATCCTCTACTTTACAATACCAATATCCCACATGGGCACTGATTCTAGTTCTGGCTGCTCCACTTTGGAACCAGCTCCCTGAGTATGGCCTGGGAAGGCGGTGGAAGATGGCTCAAGTACTTGGGCCCTGCAGCCATGTACAACACCCAGAACAAACTACAGGCTCCGGGCTTTGGATTGGCTCAGCTCTGGCTATTACAGCCATTTGGGGAGTTAATCAGTAGATGGAAGATCTTTCTCGCCCTGCTCCTATCTGTATATCTGCCTTTCAAATAAATAAGTAATAAATCTTAAAAAAATATGGTCAATTTTTAAAAATATGGCCAATTTTTAAGAATATGGTCAAGCCCACTGAAGAGATGAGAAGATAGAGGCTAGCAGCTTACCTAACATCCCACATCTAGTGACATCTGCAGGCACTATAAAATTTTTGTTTTATATCTTTGATTGTACTAATCAATTTCCATCCATATCCTAGTGTACGAAAATTGTTATAAAGCAAGTACTTGAATACAAAGCACATATCCAAATGTTTCCTACTCCTTTTCTCTACCAAGGGAACATCTTTAAGCATCATTTTAGGGTTGGTTTGGAAGAAGAGGCATATTCTTTTAACTTTTCTTTACTGTGGAAGAATCTTCTTTCTTTTTCAAAGACAAAGGAAAGTTTTGCTAGGTACATTATCCTGGGCCAACAATTTTTTGCTTTTAGAATCTGGTATATGTTGCTCCATTCTCTTCTGGCCTGTAGAGTTTCCTGTGAGAGGGCTCCTGTGAGTTTAACTGAAATTCCTTTATGTCAATCACTGAAACACCACACCGTTGTGTCCACTGTTTTCCAGTGTCTTTCAGTCTCCAGGTACTCCTCTGCTATTGTTCTATCCTCTTATTTCCTGGACTGTGCCCTCTCTGCTTCACACTGGCTGATAATTCTCTGTCTGTTTAAAAGTGTCCTTAGCCTATTTCACCATCTTGATTCTCCCTAACTTCTTAGCATTGTAAATTTGTTTTTCTTTCTGTGGTTGATTTTGTTGTGGCTTTTCACTTGGGAGGATTTATAGTGACTGTGTAGTGGAGACTGCCATGTCCAGATGGGAGGATATGGTGCAGTGTGCCTATTTCTGAATCAAGGATGGACTCCCAGTGAAACTGTTGGATGTGTCTTGACAGTGGGATGCTAGACCCTCTGCCACTGTTCACATCCACAATGATGAACTCTTACTGTTTTAGGAACTATGCTGTTGTAATGATATGGGAGAACGAAGCGTGTGTGTGTGTGGGGGGGGGGTGTTTATTGCAGGAGGTAGGGGAAATACCAGGGCCTATGGAACTGTATCATAAAATAATAATAATAAAATGGAAAAAAATTTTAAATAATAATTACAGTTTCAGAATGGGTAGAAACATTTCCCAAACAAGTCCTGAAATAGCAGGCATTTCTGTGTCTATGTGCAATTTGCTCTAAATAAATCTTTAAGAGACTATGCCACGGTAACTCATTCAACACATATTATTAATTTCCACAGTCATTCCAATAATTTCTTTCCACTACTATTACTTGTATTTAGTAAATTCTACTTTATCATTTTTTCTTGTATCATCTTTTTCAATCTAAGCCAAATACCTTCCTGGCTTTGCACTGTATACAAATTGCTGAATTACCTTCTGTGAGACAGACAACATCCCTCTCTCTTTAATTCCACTTGCCTATGTTGTCTTTCTCTATTCAAGTCCTCATGAGAGCTCTTTTAAGTTCTCGGTAGTCATAATACTTTCTAAATCTTTTATTACACTTATTACATCAATTTTATTTTCATATTAACCTAAAGTTTCTAAAAACAATTTTGTTAAGTTTGAGTATTCATTCAAAATATATTAAAAATTAAGTGGTCTAAGAAAAGGTGTATTACTAGAATTTGCATGAATCAAATTCTAAAAGGAGAGAACATTCCTTAAGAGTTGCATTTCAAGACAGAAGAAAACAAAGACATTGTCAAAGTCAGGAGTCAGGAACTGCATATGGGCCTTCCAAAAGGGGGAGAGGAGCCCAAGTACATGGCATCATTCACTGTTTTCCCAAGTACATTGGTAGGATGCTGGATCAGAACTGAAACAGCCAGGACTTGAACCAGTACTCTGATATGGAATGCCAGCATGACACACAGTGGCTTAAGCCACTGTACCACAACACTGGCCCTTCTTCAAATTACCTTAGTATAATCAGTTATACAGAAAACCCTACATTATCTGTTAATTCACCCTTTACTTAGGTACAGAAATAAGGAAATGACTTAATTTTCCAAGAGTTTACTCAAAAGGTGCTATTTTCCCAACATTGAATTAAGTCAATGAAGCTACAATACTCCAAGAATCAAACCCTTTTCATCACAGAATTTGATGAGCACCTGTGTGCTCTTTTATTTGATCCTCTTTTCATCATTTTCCTTTTAAAATCTTCAAATGACGCAACCTATACTTTATTTAATAATTCAGATCTTTAGAAAAAAATTTTTGTAATTTTGTAATTACCATTCTTTCAAATATATACCAGAGAATCAATGTTAATAAAATCTTTTACCTTCTGGATCATAGGTTTGAAAAACTCTCCTGGCTTGTTCTGAAGGAGCCTCAGGGGCAACTAAAGCCATATCCTGAAAAAAGTAAAGAGCATTCTGTCAACCAGTGCAAAATATGGACATGAAAAATAAACAATACAAATATTAGTACCATGAAGAAGTGTTGACATCGGAGTCAGAAGACTCGGAGGCACATTCATATTGCAGGTGTATGACTAGGGAAGTCACCAGCTCTCTGTAATGTTACATCTGACAAACAGGAATAATGCCTCAGCCATAGAAAAAATTTTTAGAGTTGTATGTGAAGCTTTATATAAATAATTCAAAGAGCTAAAGTCTAAACTTATACAGGTATGTGTTATACAGTGAATTATTACAAAGTACAATAACCTATGAATTTATTTCATATTACTGCCCATTTAGGAAATCCATAACAAAATACGCTGCAGTTTTCAAGTATCTAAAAAAATCTATGACAATAAAGTATGACAGAAATCTAGGGTGATAAACTTGAAAAGTATTATCTTAACAGGCAATTTACAGCATTTATGGTAATATTCAAAATCAAATTTTGTCTCAATTTTAATTTTCCTTAAGTAAACAGCCTATATGAAAAATTATTTGTCTCTTTGAAACAAATTTTCTACAGTACACAGTATTTTTATCAAAATGTTAAGCAGAAAAATTTGTTACTTTGATTCTTCACAAAACTTTACTCCACATACTTCAGCGACTATTGAATTCCACCTGACTAACATGAATTCAGGAACTAGCTTCTTGTTATTTATCTATGGTCACAGCTTTGGTCTGGAGGCTATTGTCTATAATTGTGTTCACTCCAGACAAAACTTATCAAAGAGCAAACTTTCAATTTTGCATATCTCCCAATTTGAATTATCTTAAGAAGTTATGGGAGTATACATTTAAATAAAATCTAAAATTTTGTTAGCCTATGGGTTAAGGGCTTATAACAAATATACTTATTACTTTTAGACCTACCCAATCATCATTCCCTTAACCTGTTCACAGATGAAGGAACACACTACTTGAAGTAGTTCTTGCTAAAATGTAAAATAAACCTTCTGATACTTCATTACTTCAGCAAAAGGTAGTATTATAAAATCATTTCCCATTTAACCATTGCTTGGCAGGATCCCACTTTCAACGTAAATTTGCTGATTACACCCTTGTTAAGTGAGCTGTTTTCCTGTGGTGTACCTTTAAGTGTTTTGCTTATTTAATCATTTAGTTTTTAACTGTTGGATACTTGGATTGTGTCTAGTCTTGCTAGGGAGGCATCAACAATTTGTGGAAAACTCCCACTATCTTTTGGCTCCATTTTCCCACGACTTTTTGAAGCCCCCTCATGTGAACAGCACTGTATCAAATAACCTTAAACACAATGAGATTATTGGGTAAAAGAACAAACACATTTGTAATTTTGGTAGATGATGTCAGAATCTTAGATTGTTATTCTAGTCTACTTTGAACAATATTTCTTAAAATTCCCTGTCTTCTAATATATCACCAAGACAACCTTTGGCATATAACCAACCTTTTGCCAAAGCTAGGATTGTAATACTGGCTCTCAAATTTATGGAACAGTTGCTAAGACTGAATTATTCCTAATCTTCTTTGGTTGCCACATTAGCACTCTGGAGGGCTGCTGCGATGGTACAGTGAGTTAAGCTGCCGCAGCAGCACCCCTAACAGTGTCACTTTGAGTCCACATTCTGTTTCCAGGTTTGCCTAACTTGGCAAGAGAGGATGAGGCCTGCCACCAATGTGAGAAAGCAAGCAAGTGTTCTGGCTCCCAGAATCAGCTGACCCAGACCCGACTCCTGCAGCTACTTTGAGAACAAACCAGAAAATGGGTAGATATTCATTTATTTATTCATTCTTTCTCTTTTGCTCTTTTTTCCCTCCCACCTTCTCCTTTTCCCTTTTTTCTTCCCTCCCTCTGTCACTTTTTCAAATAAATTAACAATTTTTTTCTTATACTAAAAACTTTAGTCCCCTATCTTTTAACCCCATTTTTTTTTTTTCAATTCCACCCTTAGGAATAGTGGCTGGAATTTGTGAATGAATAGCATAACAAATTCTGGCTCAGGAGAAGGCAGTGAGCTATAGACAAAATGAGGTGCAAGAAAAGAGTAAGACAGAGTCATTCATTCTATTTCTCATCTATTCAAGTGTTCACAGAAGTGAAAAATGAGTTGTAAGCCGTGACTTAGGATTTTTAAATATTACTTGAAACTCTAATCTAGGGCCCGGTGCGACAGAGTAGAGGTTAAGGTCCTTGCCTTGAACGCCTCAGGATCCCATATGGGCGCAGGTTCTAATCCCGGCAGCTCCACTTCCCATCCCGCTCCCTGCTTACGGCCTGGGAAAGCAGTCGAGGGCGACACAAAACCTTGGGACCCTGCACCCATGTGGGAGACCCGGAAAGACGTTCCTGGCTCCTGGCTTCGGATCGGCACAGCACTGGCCGTTGCAGCCATTTGGGGACTGAATCATCAGATGGAAGATCTTCCTCTCTGTCTCTTCTCCTCTCTGTACATCTTCCTAACAAAATAAATAAATCTTGAAAAAAAAAAAAAACCTCCAATCTAAAGAGAAGAAAAGTGAATATGAAGTTTTTATTGAAAACAATGTTTTGGGGGATGAGGTGATGAAGAAAACAAAGGGAATATTACTTTAATATTCCTACATGGTGAAGCTTTGGGAAATTACTACTGTTTATCAAGCTGAAGGAGCCAAAAAAGATTCTAGAGGTTTCAGCCACAAAAGGTTTCACATGAAATCCTCTGTCATTAAAGATGGCAACAGAAAATACAAGAGGCCAAAGAATTTAAAGCAAACTATCTGATGGGTTACCTCTAGGCTTTAAGTGTTATAAACAAAAATCTATGCTAATATACAAGAGAATTAAAGTAGATCTTAATGAAAGTAGTCCATCTCTTGCCTCTGATTATGAATACATAAAAAGCTTTTAGAATATAAAGTATCCTGTTTAAATGTCATTCACACTAGCTATAAGCTGTCGCTCAGGTAAAGTCCAAGTGTACTCTAGTTTAACCAACACTCATTTACTGCCAAGGACAGGTAACTTTATCTGTAACGGGCCAGAGTAAGTATTGCAGGTTTTGCAGACCTTTTGTTGCGTCTCAATAATAAAACCGATCACCATGGTTATGCTCCAATGAAACTTTATTTTACAGAATAAGTGATGGCTTGGTTGGCTTGAGAGTCACTGCTTGCTAAACCATGATTTACAGAATATATTACATACTTTTCTCCTAGTGTTCTAACACTTATTGAAACATGGCTTCCTTTTTTATATGTGTCAAGGAGTAAAAGATGGGTAATATTTATGAAGAGAAGTAAAACAGATTATCAGAAAGAAAGATGCAGGGAAATCTAGCTGGAGAAACAAAAATAAAATGCAAGAAAAACATGAATTCAAGAAAAAACTCAAGAGTTAAATATGACAGGAAAAACGGATAAAAGGAGTAGTTAGAAAGGGAATTCAGCTTTAATGCATTTAATTTTGGACTTTAAAAGTTTTCAGGTAACAAACATTCACGTAGAACTTACAGAGCTATCTTAATGCTTGGCACAGTGTGAAAACTCACTGTTTACAACTTTTACGCTTACAGGCCATCAGAAACAGAACGCAGACATCAGAGAGGGCTGGTAAGCCTGTCAGGCAAGCTGCTGATGAAAGCAGCATAGTTCAAATAAGAACTGAATATCCTAAAACAGGAATCCAGTCAGCTTATTAAAGTTAAGAAATGTTGAAACCAGTATGTTAAACCCTCAGTGTGAAGACATAACGGTCAGCACTATCACACCACAGCTTAAGTACCTAAAAAAAAAAACCTACCTGCTTTCCCTTATTTATTTAATTAATTAATTGATTGATTGGTTTGCAAGATAGAGGCAGAGATACAGGAAGAGAGAGATGCCAGTCTGATGGTTCACTGCCCAAATGGCCAGAAGCACCAAGATTAGGCCAGGCTGAAGCAATGAGCTTCTTTGGGCTTCCCAAGGGGATGCAGGAGTCCAACCCCGTAGGCCATCTTCATTGGTTTGCCATGCACAGTAGGAGAAAGCTGGATTGGAAGTAGAACAGATAAGACAAGGAATAGGTACCTGTATGGGATGCTGGTTTTGCAGGCAATGTCTTAACCCACTATGCCACAATGCCAAACCCTCCCTTTTTCCTCTTATCACACAACACAGCAGTACTGTCAAGGTAGATACAATCACCTAATATTAAGTGCCATTACTATAAAGAAAATTGAGTCTTTGGTCTCATACTGCTAAGCAATTTGCTGAACTCCTTAAACATTAGCTTTTTAAAATCAAACCACTTATTTTTACATGTTTTTACATCGTAGGGAGAAAACAAAAGGAAAAAAATAGTGAATTCCAGTGAAGAAATTCTAAGCTTTCATGCATGTGTTCCAAAGTGATACTGGCTTACTTTTATGAGTGCTCACAAAAATTTTTTGCATGATTATAGAAAATTATTTCTTTTTTAAAAGAATGTTTAAGGGAGAAGACGGTTACCAATCTTTCTTCAGCTGCTTCACTTCCCAAATGCATGCAGCGATCAGAACTGGGTCAAGATGAAGGGTGGAGCTAGGAACTCCACCGCAGTTTCCTATGTGGGCAGCAGAAGCCCAAGCACTCCTGAGGCTGAGAGGTCCTGACTGGTGGCTGCCAGCTTCCCAAGGAGCGGCCTGACTGGTAGTGCCACAACTCTCGCCCCATAAAATCACCTCTTATGCTTTTTAAGTTTTATATAAACTTTAGTTGCAAAATGCCATTCCTGATTGTTTTATGAAGTGATTTAAAAATCACAAATTCAACCACTGATTTTGACAAATTAACGTAAATGATTCTCATTATAAAGATTTGTAGCAGAATAAACCTTCTGGCAAATCTTGCAATGTATTAATAGGAAATGTATATTATTACTATTCAAACTTCTTCCTTTTTATAAAAAAAAATATTTTTATTGAGAAGATAGGTCAGTTTCACAGAAAAGAGAATGAGAGAAAGATCTT